AAATTAATTATTTTATTTTACAAACTAAAAATTTCCAACATTCTCCCACTTAGTTTGTAATATAAAATAATTATACAAGCATGAGAATCGCACTTAAGAGGTGGTAACTTTCGTCTTAAACAACATCGTAGTGAAATTAAGTCACCTAACTAGCTAAGTTATTAGTGGCTCGTTGCTTAAACCAATAATCAGTCTAGTATAGACTTAATAATGCACGCACAAACACCCACAGCATTCCTTATAATTCACATTATGATTTAGCACTATTACCGGCCATGTGCTCATCCTAGATTCTTGATCATATACGAAAGATAATCTCAAACTTTTGCTAGAAACGGCACCACCTCTATGATCAAATAGGTGGAAGTTATTCCATTTTATTACTATATCATAATTAAATGCTCAAGAATAATTCCATTCAGAGATTTCTCTCAACCTGCTCACTTAAGAGTAACATATATAATGCACCAATACTTGGAATGATATACACGAATTTTGGTGCTCACAACCACAAAACAACTTGTTGTTACCCTTTAAACCTTGCAATCTAGGGGTAGTACTAGAAGAAGGTTGGGTTTCCATTGTTCGTGATTTTAGTATTGAGATTTTATTCCCATTCCTCATGTTGTCGAAAAACACCAATTCTCTCGTAAGAGATATGGTACATGGATCCATAATAAAATTATATTTTTACAAACACAACATCGACAACATCAACACTTGTATCTCATTAAGAAAAACATATATTGAATTAATATGTCTACATTTACCCATTGTCAAAATTCGCACAATGTTCAAAACATATTAATCTAGCTATCACAACACAAGGTTACAGGCGACACAGGCCAGGGCCCTTTGGCCACTTCACCTCCTTATGTACTGAAGATAGTTCAACAAGTTCGGCTTTCTTTTCTTGGAGAGAGTGATTATTGTCTGCTTCACTTATCAAGAAACATCTCTCACTATCAAGCATGAATATCTAACCACTAACGGGTTATGATCACTATTGCTAGAATATCAACTAGCATTTGAATAGCCCTTAAGAACAACAGAAATCTAATCAATTATAATAAAATCATAACCCTTAGTCTTTTAAGGACATATTATGATTTTAGCATTAGATTTGCAATGGTCTTTACTTAGGCACTTCGTGTAATTAATGAGTCACATATCACACAGATAAACACTACTCTAATGCACATAAAAGACATCCAATGTCACTAGAAAATTCTAGTTTAGTAATTGGATTGTCATATCATGAGAGTACAAACTTTCTTCATATTCACATGTTGATACTTTGTTAATAACTTATTAACATCATATGAATAAGAAAGTACAAAACCCCCACTATTTCCTTCAATACAATGAGACATTACCTTTTTCACCAAGCTCATTTAATTTGAACTTAGAAAAAGGATTTTTCTTAGTATCCACTACACGTTGTTGAAATTATTATATTCATTGAGCATAGATATTTATACAAAAGCATATATCTATTACATACTCTTCATAAAATTTTGATATATGCAATTTACACATATATGCACCATGTGAGAGTAACTTAGATAAACCATCATACAATTGTATAAAATCAAATCAAAACTTCACTAGTACACACATCTTTTTATCACTTCATAGCACAAAGCATTAAGAAGTTCCAAATTCACATTTTCATATAAGTCACCACTAAGATGATACTTTACACCTGTCACAGGTGAACATGAAAAACTTAAATGAAAACTTCTAGCTAGTGGGATAAATTATGCAAGTCAAACTAACCAAAGCAATCATGACACTTTCAGTCCAAATATACTATTGATGTCTCTTGATATCAACAATAAATTACTAATGGAATAGCCATTTACAATGTACTAGTCTAGAACCTTTCAAGTTCAATCAATTTGGACACATACATCATTAGACAATGTCAAGTCCATTCCATGATTAACTCTTCTTTCCAAATGCATCATCCTAAAATTCAAAAAAATTCATTGTTTTTAACTTACTCTACAAAAAACATCATAAAGTTTTACTTAGTAGAGTATTTTTATTGCTCTCAGTAGAAAGTCAGTAGCCTTAGAAGATACAACTTCCAAGAAAAAATTTTATAAGTTTTAGACTTTGATTAAACCAGAAAGTTAATGTCTTTCTCTTTGGTTCACTCATAGAAGCATTTGCACTTTTAGAAACTGAGAGGTTCACTAGATGGTACTTTAGCTACTTGGTTTAGAAACTTTAAAAACAAATTTTTAAATGTATCTACATCTATTGATTATATTAATACATCATAATCAATGATAAGCAGCTTAAATACTTTAGTGTTCATATAACTACACAGTTAAGTGTTTTGAACACAACAATGTGTAGTGTCACATTGAACTTTTTATGTTCAACAATATAATTTTACTCCCTTCCATATTCCACATGGAGACACTTTAGTATTTAGGGAGTTTAATTGTACCCATGACATGTATTTAATAAGATTTATTCCACAAACCTTTTGGCTACTTAAACTCACAAGCATAGCATTGCCATGACACATAGAGTTTTATATTTCTAGCCAAACTATTTGTTATTTATTAAATACTAGTCCATTTTACCTACTACAATAATTTTAGACTAGGAATTTACATGCAAAATGTATCAAATATTTTCTCCACTATTTTCACTAGATAAACTTGCACACAAACATGAGCAATTATCTATAAAAGTGGCAAAATATTTCTTTGCATCCCTTAGTTTAAAATTATTAAATTCACATACAACAAGGTGTTATACCAGGAATAACTTCCAGCTTTTATTTGGAAGTATACTTGCACCATAGTTTATGCATATGTTTCACATTTTTATTATTAAGGCATATGATACTTACTAATACCTTATGCAGATATACAATACCTTAGCATCCAAAATAATAAAAAGTGAAAGCATAACACCATATCCAATGCATTGATATTGAAAATAACAATGCAAAAGTAAGCATTGTCAATTTAAAAAGTTTCACTGCAAAAATGATGCTTGGTTATCAAATAAAAGTCACAACCTTAATATGTCATTTGGATGACTAGACATGACTTTCACTCATGTCTTTTCACTTTAACCAATTGACTTATTCTTTTGAATATGTCTTTTCACTTGGAATCAGTAGACAAGTACTTCCCTTTGTGTCTTATCACTTAGAATCAATAGATACAGCTTTAGTTTGTATCTTTTCACTTGAATTCATAAGACAAAAACACTTAACATGTCTCTATTCATCCAAAAATCAAGAAATCACAACTTTTCATAAAAGTTGTCGATTTCGTTTCACCATAACCATACTTTTGCATTATTATGAGAAACTTTTACATACATAAAACATTTGATTTAATACATAGCATCAAATTTTCAGAACTAAAAATTATCCCAAAAATTATTGGAATATATTTATGTTTTTCTGTCGTCAACTTTCATGTCAACTCTGTTATAGATTTTTCAACACAATTGGTCTTACTAGTTTGAATAATAAATATTCACAACTCTTCATATAAAGGCCAATTTCAACACAATTATAACCATATGTCTTTCACATTTCTCAAAACTAAGAAATTTAAGAAAAACAAATTCATCACGTATTTTGTTCTTGTCAACAAAATTCACTTTAAGATCACCAATTAATCCATATAATTTTCACAGCACTAGATTTGGTTCGAGCAAAATTAAAACACAAATCTACAAATTTTTAAATTATCATCATGGATTAATTTACTATGAATTTGTAATTCCGGAGAAAACATTTAACACAAAGTTAAATGTATATATAAATCAGAAACTTATCTGCTGTATACTCGCTTGAGTATACTCTAGATCTTTCTAGATCTGTTTTCAGAACTTGACTACGGAACTAAACCGTAGAGAAATCATTTTGAGCACACCCAAAAATCTCTATGTTGTAAGATCCATCTTCATTACTTTTAACCATCTTTGATCCTAGTCTCCTTGAATACTTGTATCAATCCATGGCTAAATTATTGTCTTAAGATTGAAAGTATATAAGGGTGATAATCAAAGAGACAACACAAAAGACACTAAAGAATGAAGATGAAAGATTTATGAACTTTATTGTTAGAAACTTGAATCTAACAATAACGGGGAATCATAAGATTTGGATGTGTTCTAATCGTGTTAGACACTGTCCTTAAGACAATATTTGCCCCCTCCATGTTGCAATATCGGGTTTGTTTGGCAATTTGCCTCTAGGACATAAAGAACACAAGAACATGCAACTTGCAATTATTGAATGCTCTCAAGAATTTAGGAATGCAAAAGTTCCTTAGAAATCCTGCACCATTTCACCTATTTATAGGTAACACTTGCAGAATTAAAAGGATACAAAACTAAGTACACAACCCTTGGCTTGTAGGAAATAACTTAATTATTAGTTGAAGGGTTGCCAACCACCATGCAAGTGAAGGGTTGCCAACTTAATTATTATCCTTAAATTCTAAATTAATTATTATATTTTACAAACTAAAAATTTCCAACAAGGCTAAATCACGCTGTTTGTGTTTGAAACTACTCTTCCCGCAATAATTATAATCTTGTTTCTTAAACTAAAAATAGGTTTAAAGACAAAACTACCATGCAGCGAAGTTAAAAGAAATATTACTTAATAATACGTTATAATCTCTAGCTATTTGATTTGGAACTTAACCAAATTTTTAAAGCTACTAAACAGTCGATCATGATACTAAATGAATAAAAAAGTCACAACAAAATAGAGGAGACCTCGCACATGCACATATATCGCCAGCTTCATTGCTCCAAATACCTCCTTCCAGATTCCAGGAGCCTAAAGGGGTGGGAAGGATTATTTACAGAATGAATCATCCCACGGTCTTCTTGTTCATGATTCCGGTGCTCCAAAGACCTCGAGTCTAATCGCTGAGATCTATGGGGAAGGGGATGATTAGTTTGTTGTTGACACTTCATATGGGATTGTTCCTCAAACATCTCGTGCTCTAAAAGGTTCCTACAAATTTCATGGGTCTATGGGAAGGAGGAGGAAGATTATCTATGGGAAGACCCCGCGGATGCATTTCTTGCTCAAACATATGGTGTTCCAAAGGCATATGCCCTAAGGGTTTAGAGGGAGGAGGACGATTAAATAAGGCGAGACTCCACGCGTCCCTAATATCTTGTTCAGACTCTCTACACTCTAAAGACCTCCTACCTACTTCCAAAGGTCCATGGGGAGCGGTAAGACCCCGCGCACGTGCCTCTTGTTCAGAATTTCGATGCCTCCAACCTATTTCCGAGGGTCTATATGAACAGGAATGGTTCACTAGGGGGAGACTCCGACCATGCGCCTCTTCCTCCGAGTTCCAGTTATCCAAAAGTCTCCTTCCAACTTGACCAGACTTCAGAAGAAGACCGTCGTTGACAATCGAACCCTTGCCAACTTTGGGACAAAGCTTTCTCTTGCTATTCTTTGATTCATTAGACTTCAGCTTAAGAGTAATCTTGGTTTTCCTCTTCAGATGATCAATGAGTTGATCTGGATCAAATTCACCCGTCACTTCCACCTTTCCTTCCTTTCGATTCACCACTACTCTCTCCACCCCTTCAAGCCCTAATGATGAATCAACATATTAAATATTGTTTGATTATATATAGCCAAAAAAACAAAAAAAAAAAATTACAGTTCACCGACAAAGTGAAAAGATTAATTGAAAATATGCTTATTTAATAATTACCTCTCCTTTCATAACAAACACAAAAACAACAAGCAATACTCATCTCTGTTGGAATCAAATGCCTTTTCAATCGTCTTTCGCACCCAGAGCAAAGACAGTATTCAGTAGTGAAGGTTCGGGTGATCGACATTTTGAGTGGTTTAACTGCCCGCAACAATTCCGACTGCTGGCTATCAAGAATTAAAAAAACAAAATTCTATTAGGATGATGAATATAATAAAAAAACCAACAGAGATATACATATTCTTTTGTATATGCATTCAAGTTAATTGTTTTACATGTTATTAAAAATAAAAATACAAAAACAAAAGAAGGTACCCATCTAGGATGACTTATTTTGAGATTGAGGGAGCATATTATTAATGAGAAAAAAAAACCCTAGTTATGTCTATGAATTCAAATTAATGGCGTGACATAGGAAAAAATATATAAACAAGAAAATATGGAGGAAGAGGCAGATAAATCTCGGAAGCATGCATGATTAGTTTTGGTTAATTGGTCTATTACTTTTTTGTTCACTCCATCAACGAAAGACAAACAAAATTCATATGTTATCTCGGTACAAAATAAAAGTCATGCCTAAATTTAATAGAAGTTCACGAGAAGAATAACATATATATCAGAAAATCCTAGTGCTTGACTGAAAGAGAGCCGATGAACTTCTTTAAACACTCAAAGAGGGGCTTAATCGTTCAGTTTCATAACATAATTTATTAAGAACAAAGTTCATAGTCACCTATACATATCAAAAGATGGCTTCCCCAAAGTCTTAAACTAACACGAAAAGAAGAACAAAGAAAACCACAAAACTGTACGAACATGAAATTGATTGCTTACCCGAAATATGAGCTTTCAAAAGAAACAAGATGTTTTGGAGAACTCGTCCGACCTAGGTATTTATAATGATGGCCTCAATGGTTAACCAAAAAGAAAAAAAAATGTATTACCTCATGAATAATTATGTATATATGGAAATGGTAGATTCTCGCTAGTCCTTCCATATATAAAAGGGATATTTAATTACTTCTTAATTAACAGAAGGTTAGAAATAATAAGGAAAATTTAACAATGTGTTTGGAACTTTCTTCATTGATCTAACAGAAAAGGGTTATTTTAAGGCTAGCGAAATTGCCATGTCAATTTTTAGCATCCAGCGCAATTAGTAAGTGTCTTCTCTAAAATACCCTTTGATTGATATTCCACGCAATCCTCCCTAACTTGCCGCTCCAATCTCCAATCTCAAGCCTCTCCTACGTCAAACCTCTTTTGCTTCAGTACAGTTAAACTCTGCAAATTTGCATTCATAGGTCGTCTTTTCAATCTCGGTCAATCTAAGTCGCTGTTTCTTTAGTCAAATTTCCATGGCATTTTCAAATTTGTTGTTAGCCTAGAAGACAAATGGGCAATTGCTTTATTCTGCCAACGTTAACTAATCGCGCAGTATCACCGGTCAATTTTCCAGGGGCGTGATGATACAAACACATGTAATTTCTTAATCTATTCCCTAATTTCATGCGATTACAATAAATAATTGAAGATGATACGGGAAGAAATTTTTTTTTAGACAAGAGATCTTGAATTAAATATCCCCAAACAGCTATGGCCCAAAAAAAAAAAAAAAAGAACACTAATTGTCTCCTATTGTCGAGAGATTCGTAAGGCTGTAAGTCGATTGTCTCTTCATCCAACCTGTGTGTTGCTTGTAAGGTCACGGAAGCCGAACGAGGAGGAAGTAGAGAAAAAAAAAAAATTTCTTATATACTTGAAGTGATTGATTGAATAGGGATAATTTTGGTATGAGACTCACTTTTTGTTCGGGAAACTAAAAATTGCACTGGCAATCCTTAGCCATATATATATTTAGGAATATAGGATGTCACACTTCTTTTAAGAATAGTACTATTTGGTATGATGACATAATCCTTCTTAGAAAGATGCTTGATTTCTTCTTCCGAATGGACCTCTCTTTTGGACGGTCTTTTGTTCGCTTCATTTATCTGTTGGATAGATGCTTCATTTTTCATCTTAACTCGTAGCTTCATTTGATAAAGCTTCCAAATTACAAGTTCAAAAGTAATCTCAAACAATGGCCAAATTTGATTCAATTTAATGCTTCATTATGGTCACTGGTCAATGTTATAGGCTTCCTTCATTATGACATCCTTAATTACTTCTATCCTTTCAAAATATAAATCACTTTATAATTTGCATGTCTAAATTAAGGAGACAATCATTTAACAATTAATTTTGAGAAAATGACAAAAACCCCTCAGGTTATGTCCCAAATACTAATACCACCCCGAGTTTTTCCATAAGGACAATTACCCCTCTTGATCAACAGTTAACGGCAAAATTGACCCCTCCCCTAGGGCAAAAATGGCAAAAAATATGTAATGATCAAAATACCCTTTTCACCTAAAATCAAATTTTTGTGGATAAATTCTAACATTTTTCAAAAAACCTATTTTGTTTAACAAATCAAAAGATTTATTTAAGAATAAGATAGTTACCAATTTTTCTTAAAAAACTACTTTTTTTAAAAGAAAAATAATTTGAGTAAATACTAGTTTAATCTATGCTTGATTTTCTTTTTTCAAAAATGATAGACTTTCAACCATGTTCTGTATTGATTTTAATAACAATGTACTAATTCAAAACATGAACAATGTTGCAATTATGCTATTTTTTGGGAAAATTTTCTTCCTTTTTGAAAAAAAAATTCAACCCAAAATAAATTTCTTTTTTACTAAAATTAATTATATTTTTAGAAAATTATTTTTCAAAAAAGTTGGTGAATATTGTTATTCCTAAATAAATTCTTCAACACTTGTTAGGCAAAATAAGCCATTGAAAAAACAGGAAGATAAAGTGTGGATCAAAAAATTATTTTAAGATAAAAAGAGTATTTTTATCATTTTGATTGTCAGGGGGTTCAATTATGCAGCTGACTAGCGGTCAAGGGGGTAATTGTCCTTATAAGAAATGTCGGGGTGGTATTAGTCTTTGGGACATAACCCAGGGGGATTTTTGTCCTTTTTACATTACTTTTTGTGTCAAATATTTGGGTCTTTTCCCTAAAAAAATTAATTAAAATAAAGGTGGACAAATTTAAATTTTTCAAAATATTTGTGGGCAGGAATATATCCCACGGATTTCCGAAATCTGAGTTATAATTAAAATTAAACATTCGGATTTCGAAAATCCGAATCTACATTTAATAATAAAATAATAATTAAATAAATTTTATTGAATAATAGTTTTTGAAAAATCTTACATGAACAGTGTCGTTCGGATTTGCGTAATCCGAGCCCCATTAAAAAATAATAAATTGAGGCGCGAAATATTTGAGCTCAAATAAGGAGGACTTAAATAAACAGTAGTACTCGGATTTCCGAAATCTGAGTTCTCAAAAAGAGAAAAAATAAAATAAAATCAAGGCACGAAATTTTTGAAATCAAAGAACTGGAATACCGTAATCCGGTTACATGTATTAGTGTTATGTACTATTTGTACATACTAGTATTATGTAGTACATTAATATTATTGCTCATTATACATTATTGGTACTATTGTTATTTATTACTGTTAAATCTGTTAGTCATTACTCCCTCCGTCTCATAATTATTGTCCAGTTTGGATCTTCATTTTTAGTTCAAATTGTACTAAAGTGAAATCTAAAACTGGACAATAATTTTAGGACAGAGGGGTATATATTATCATTAATTCAATATAATTTATCTGTACTAGTGTAATGTACTATTTGTACGTACTAGTATTACGTAGTACATTAATACTAATACCCATTATACATTATTGGTACTGTTGTTACTTATTACTGTTAAATCTATTAGTTATTGGACTAGATACTTGCCCCAGGCGAATGCCCGGGATGTCGCCTGTATTTTTAAATTGATTAAATAAAAAATACGAATCATTCTTAAAAAAATAAAAAAAAATCAGAAGAATAAAAAATCGATTGAAAAGACAGAAAATGAATTAGTACACATAAATTTATGCCCAGAATTACAATATTTAATTTATAACAGTTACTTATGCCCGGGTTTACATAAATCATAAACCAATATCTACAATAGAAGAATAAAAAAAATCATCCTTAAAAAATCAAATTTCTTTCATGGTAGCTTATTTTTTCTCTGTTGCAGAAAGAGATGGATTGATAATTGATGTCAGATTTTAAGTAATTGATTTAAAGGCTCAGGTGTGAGAGAGGAGCGGAATGGAAGAGATTCTTTGAAATTGAGGATTAGGAAGACATTACCGGTGTTTCACTTGATTTAAGGGGATTTTCTTACATTTGATTTTATCAACTAATATTGTTGTTTTAAGATATTAGTATATACCTATAATTAAGATATTTTTATGTAGCTATAATTAATGGATTTATGTATTTATCTATTCTATCTTTTTTTTCTGATTAGTTAGAGTGCCACGTGTCAAAAATGATTTTGTACTGAAAATAGCTTTTGGCTAGAAAATATTCATTGTGGTGCTGACACATGTCCTTTTTGTTTGCTGCTTTAATTAAGTACTATAGATATTATCATAAATTTAGTATAATTCATCTGTATTAGTGTTAGGTACTATTTGTACGTACTAGTATTATGTAGTACATTAATACTATTACCTATTATACATTACCAATACTAGTGTTACTTATTACTGTTACATCTATTAGTTATTAGATATTATCATTAATTTAATATAATTTATCTGTATTAGTGTTATGTACTATTTGTACGTACTAGTATTATGTAATACATTAATACTATTATCCATTATACATTATTGGTACTAGTGTTCCTTATTATTGTTAAATCTATTAGTTATTAGATTTTATCATAAATTCAGTATAATTCATTTGTATTAGTGTTATGTACTATTTGTACGTACTAGTATTATGTAGTACATTAATACTATTATCCATTATACATTACTGGTACTAGTGTTACTTATTAATGCTAAATCTGTTAGTTATTAGATATTATCATTAATTCAGTATAATTTATCTGTATTAGTGTTATATACTATTTGTACGTACTAGTATTATGTAGTACTTTAATACTAATACTCATTATACATTAGTGGTATTACTGTTATTTATTATTGTTAAATCTGTTAGCTATTAAATATTATCATTAATTCAGTATAATCTATCTGTACTATTGTTATGTACCTTTTAAGCAAATAATCGCATTTTCAGAATCTGAGTTAAGCAAAAAATTAGATTTTCAAAATAAAGCCATAGGGTTTAGGTTTAGGGTTTAACTTCGGATTTTCCAAATCTGAGTGTTACTTATACTCGGATTACCAAACTCCGAGTGTAACCTACATACGGATTACCAAAATCCGAGTGCAACATATACTTGGATTACCAAAATCCGAGTGTAACATATACTCGGATTTAGGGTTTAGGGTTTAGGTTCGGATTTCTAGAATCCGAGTTTATCAGGGAAACATGGAAGATTCGGATTTCGGAAATCCGATTCATGTCCAAAAAGTTACCAACACTTGTACAAAAAAAAATTTCCCCAAAAATTAATATTTTAATCATAAAGTCAGATTTCAGAAATCCAAATTCTGATTAATTATGCCTGATTAAAAATTTACTTAGTTTTAGTTTTAATTAAAATGAATTCGGATTTTCAAAATCCGTTTTCTATTGAATTCGGACAACCGAAATCCGAATTTACCCCGGATTCGGATTTTGGAAATCCGGAGGATATAGGTTTGTCCACACAAATTTCCAAAAAAATTAATTTGGTCTACCTTTTTTTTTAAGAAAATTTTTTAGGTCAAAAACTCTCAAATATTTATGTTATTCTTAATGAATTGCATTGGAATTATAAAAGAAACTAGAGGAAAAAAGGGTTGGAAATCCTAAACGACTTATGTTTTTTAAATATTTCTTCAAATCTAAAACAAATTTTATTTTAAAATCGATGGAGTACATATCTTATTTTTTATAAGTTGTTTTCACATAAATTTGAATATCTTTTCTATATCGTAATTATAATCTCTATAATACTTATATTTCTTTTTTGGTACATAGAAGGAAGCCTATAATATTTATATATTTTATTTAACCATCTCATCCTTTTTTGAATTGGTTAACCATCTCATCTATGTTGTTAACTCTTGTTAGGTAAAAGTTGGAATAATTATATGAGTGAGTGATTTATGGTTATGGTTATTAGCTTTTCATAATTAAATTTAATTTATTAATTTTTTTGATGGAATTATATTTTTTTATTATTTTACTCATCCAGTCAAACCAAAGAGACAAAATAAAATACTAAAGAAAAATGACAAGGACCACACATAAAGAGTGTGCATTTAATTTCACCCAAAAAAAGGAACAAAACAGAGGAAATATGTGGGACGACTTAAAAAACGTCACTGCATTCCGTACAACTTCTGGACGTTTTTCCCTGAAAAAATGTACTCACGAAAGCCGCCACTCCAATGTCCACTCAAAACTCTGAAACCACCTTCAGCAAAACCAGTTATGGGAGGTATTCTTCGCCGGAATGATTGATCATTGAGCCTCAAAACTGCCCAATTTCCATCAACTCGAAGCTTCAAAAAAACCCAATTTTCCAGAGGTAATCAATCAATCAGTCCAACTCCTTTTTCTTTTTGTGCTTTCTTGATTTTCAGTTTCTGGGTTTGTAGTTGTAGACGGGGGGAAACTTTTTTTGGGTTTTGAGAGATGGGTTATCTTGAGAAGTTAGGGGAGGCATTATCGCAGAATGATGAGAAGAAGGCTTGCCTTCACGGGGTGATGGATTTCTTGATGCTGGAATGGAGGGATGTTGAGAGTCACTTGACAATGACCAAGAACTGCTTGGCAGAATGTTTCACTGAGATCGAAACCAGAGAGGAGGGACTCAAGGCGGCGGAGGATTCGATCCGACGGAGTTTGGTGGATTTTGAGCTGAAGAAAGTAAATGTGGAAAGAGGGTTCAAGAAACTGGAAGAGATGGGGGGATTCTTGAACGGGCTTTTCAAGAAGGTGGATATGGAGATAAAGAGGTTTGGGGCGATTCAGGAGTCTGTGGAGGAGAAGCTAAAGGAGATTGCCTTGCAAGAACGCCATTTTTCGGATTTCTATGGTTCGCTGCAGAAGCTTCTGGATAAGAGGGAAAATGTTCTCAGAGCCGAAGAGAAAGATTTGGAGAGAAAGAAGGCTGAAGTTGCTTCTTCTGAACAATGTTTGGAGAAACGTGAAGCTGATCTCAAATCCAAGGAGATTCTGCTTCAGGGAAGGGAAAATGAGCTCACTGAAAACTTGAGAATTTTGGACACTAAGGCTAAGGATCTTGGTTCTAGAGAAGATCTTTTGTTGGTCAGAGAACAAGGACTGGAACTCAAAGAGAAGGCTCTGGAGATTAGGAAAAATGAAATTGATTCTCAGGAAAACCGTTTGAAGATAAGTAAGGATGAGCTTAGCGTACAGCAGGAAGACCTGGTCAGCAGGGGAAAAGAAGTTGATTTAAAAGAGAAACAGTTGAGTAGTCTAGAGGTTGGGCTTAATTCAAACAGGGAAGAGCTTGAAAGATTAAAAAGTGAACTGGGTCACTTGAAGGAAAAGGATGAAGAGCTTGAAAGATTGAAAAATCAGCTTGATTGCTTCAAGGAAAGAGAAGAAGAGCTTGATTCGAAAGGTAGCATTTTGGAAACAAAGGAAATTGATCTTGGTCTCAAGAAGGAAATGTTGGAAAAATTGGAAGCTAAGTTGCGAGCAGATGAGAAGGAGTTCAAGAGAAAAGCAAATGAGGTTTTGGCGAAAGAGCAATTTTTGCGGAAATTGGAAAATGATCTAAAATCAAAGGACACCGCTATGGAGGGAAGAATTAGTACAACCGAGAAGAATCTGCAGAGAAGAAAAGCTGAACTCGATACCAGAGAGACAATAGTAGGAACCAAGGAAATTGAGCTTGATTCGACAGATAAAACGTTGAAGAGTTGGGGCAAAGAACTTGATTCAAGGGAGACTGTTTTGAAGGCAAGGGAAGACCAGCTTTCTTTGGATCAGAAAGAGTTCAAGAGAAAACAAATTTGGCTTTCAGAAAAAGAGCAATGTTTGCAGAAATCTGAAGATGATCTTAAATCAAAGGACATCCTTTTGGAGGCAAGAGAACATAAGCTTTCTGCAGCAGAGAAAAAATTGAAGTTGAGTAAAGCTGAGCTTGAACCTTTTGAGAAAGAAGCGGAGAAAAGGAAAAGTGATCTTGATGCAATGGAGAATAAGTTGAACACGAGGGATGCTGAGCTCACTTTGCAGAAGGAACTTTTGGAGGGAAAAGAAAAATCGCTCTGCTCTAGAGCGGAAGTGCTGGAAATATGGGACAAGAAGCTTTCTGCAGATGAGGAAGAGCTTGGGATAAGGGAAAATGAGCTTGATTGGAGATTGAAAGTGTTGAACATAAGGAAAGATGAGCTTGATTCTATAGCGGAAGTCTTGGAGAACAGAAAGAACCAGATCCACTCTAAAGAGCAAATGTTGCAAGGGAGGGAGAATGACCTTGATCTGAAGGAGCAAAATATTATGGCTTTGGAAAATAAACTTGACGACAAGGAGATATGGTTAGATAGTTTGGAGAATGAGCTTTCTGCTGTGCAGCAAGATGTTAAAAGGAGGGAACAGAAGCTTGTCTTGGAACAGAAAACTCTGGAGGAGTCTGAAAAGGAACTTGAAGTATTTAAGTGGAAGATTAGGAATCTATTCTATGAACATGTTTCTACACTGAATTCCCCCAGTCAATGTCTTGAAGAATCAGGTTCACGCAATCAAACTGAAACGATGGATATGATAAGGAGCAGGAAAAGGTCTGGAAATTCAATGGAGATCAGAGGAAGTTGCAATGCCAGTGCAGAAGACATGGACAGGGCTATGAATGGGAAAAATCACAGGAGTCATTCTAAAAGAAGATGCAAAGATGGAAGGAACGAGAAAGAGATCAAGACCCCTGATTTTGGTAAGTGGGCATTACTTTATTATCAAGCCTGTGATCTAATTTGTTTTAAAACTTGTTCTTCTTCATTTCACAGGTAAAGTGGATGATGCTGGTTCAGTTGAGCATGCACGCCAATAGAGTAGTGGTTTGGTGTCCCAGAATGTGTCCACTTCACTCTCGAACCCCTCCTTTTTGGACCTAAGAGGGTTGTTGTTCATAATGCAGGTGGATACATATTATCTTCAGTTTGTCTGTCTGTTTGAAGTAGCTTCCTGTTGCAAATTTCCATAGTTTGACTCTAATCTAGCTTCCAGGTTTATCCTGTTCATATCTTCATCACTCTAATATTATGGAAATGCGACATGAGCATTTTACATCATGCTTATTTTTGTGGTGGGGTTTATAATCTATGTCAGTGATGCTGAATCTGCTAATTGAACTGCCTCCTGACTATCGCACAGAATTGGTCCTAAATGATAACTAGCCCTCTTTCAAAACAGCAGAAATGGAAGAGATGAGAGATGCTTGGATCATTCAGTTACTTAAATTTTTGTTCGGTTCATTGCTTATTTGCTAGCATGAAAAGCCTAAGCAAGTGGCAAGACGCGCGTGATTATTCAAAGATTAACACCTGCTAAACCCTAATATACGAAAAAAGCTCTGTTTTCAGCTCAAGCCTCAAACTGTAATTTTTTCAACCAAAAAAAGAAAATAAAATTTAAAATCCATGCTTGAGTTTCCTAATCAAGCCACTGATGAAATGTTTTTCCCCAGCTAAAATGATGCAATTTTCTTTAGTTTTTCTTTGTAAATATTAAAACTGGAAAATTGATCTTAACCATTTTTATTAATTTTTTTCGTTTTTGATGCTTTAGGACAATTGTTTTATACTAATATGAATTTTTTTTCTTTCATATCACACATCATAAAGGTAAAACAATCTATACTTTAAAAATATTTCAATTGACAAGGACCGCGAGATCTAATATCAAGTTGAACAAAAAAAACGTTAATCACAAGTTCACAACCTTAAAACATCAACATTCGACATGATACCTTATTTTCGTCGTGATACCTTTTACATATTCAAATTAAACGACCCATCGAAATAACAGGTTTAGTACCCCCAAATCAAAAAAGAATACCGATTTTGGCCCCCCTTTAATCTCATATTCTCACAAACCAAACACATCGATTAAATTGCACAACTTTACACTTTTCAGCCTCAACTTTCATGGCAATAGATGAAAATAACTTGAATGGATTTTTTTTCCCCCCAAACTCATACGAAATTAACACAAACTTACAAGACTTTTCATTTCTCCCTTGTCCTCTTTAATAAAGCAACTTCTTTTAGAACTAGTTCTGCAAATTTCAGCATTTTTTGTCAGTTTCCATGCATTCTGCACCAGCATCACAACTTCCTCCAAACTCCAACATTGAATCCACCAATCTCCTCTCGCTCCTTTCCACACCTCAAGATGGAGCAGGATTGGGAGAAACAGAGTCTTCAACAAGTGGGCTGGAATATGTTTTCCGAATGTGCTCCTTAAATGCTTCAATTTCCCTTTTGAACTCGTTTTTACTGCTCTCAAAAGCTTCTTGCTCAGGATAAAGCTTTTTTGCCCAACTGTCTAATATTGCATCTGTCGAATCAAGCTCGCTTTTAAGTTTCTCCACTTGTTGCTTCTCTGCATTAAGCTCATCATCCCTTGTCTTCAAATTATGCTCCTTCCGATCAAGCTCATATTTCATTGCTGCCAAGTCTTTCTTGTAGGAATCAAGTTCATTTTTCAATGTGTCTAAGGTTTTCGAGGTCAAAGTAAGATTGTCTTCCTCTGTCTTTAAAGCATTTTCTAGGGCATCGAACTCAGCTTTCTTTCTCTCTACAACCATTTTCAATTCAATGAAGATTCTTTCTCTTTACCCTAAATCTTTTGCCTTTGATTTGAGCTCATGATCTGTTTCCTCCAAAGATTTCTCTTTTAGCGAAAGCTCATTTGCCTTTCTCTCAAGCTCTTCCTTAGTTAAACTCAATCTATCTGCCAATGTCTTCAAAGAATTCTCCTTGGAACAAATTTCATCTTCCTTTCTGTTCAAATCTTTCTCTTTGGAAGCAATATCTTTTTCTTTCCTCTCCACAAGTTTCAGCTTTTCCCTTAGCTCAATTTTCCTTCCCTCAAAAAGGGTCTCTTTTGAACGAAGTTCACTTTCCTTTCTCTGCAACTTCCTCTCCGCATCAAAAACCTTTTGTTCCCTTCCCTCCCAAGCTTTGGTCCTTCCCTGCAAAGTCTTCTCTTTATGTTCCTTTGATTTAAGATCATTTTCCAATTCCTTCAAACATTGTTCTGTAATCGAAACCCCGTTTACTCTTCTCATCAGTTCTTTCTCATCTGCTCGTAGTTTACCTTCCAGTTTCTCCAGCATTTCCTTTTTGAGACCAAGATTTCCTTTGTTTCCAAAATGCTACCTTTGGAATCAAGCTCTTCTTTCCTTACTTTCAAAAGGGCTTCCTGTGAATCAAACTTATCTTTCCTTGTCTTCAAAGAATTCTCTCTCCAACCAACCTCATCTTCCCGTCTCCTTAAATCTCTCTCTCTGGAATCAAGTCCATTTTGCAGTCTGTCCAAAACATCTTTCTCTAAACTAAGCTCACCTTCCCTTCTATTTAAAAAAGTTTCCTTTGAATCAATCTCATAAGTTCTACCCTCCAGATATCTGAATTCCCTTTTGTCTCTTTCCCACAAACCCTTGATTTGCTCTTCTCGAAAAGCTAATCCTTCATCTTTTCATCTACAGAGTCTTGAATTTTTTCAAACAGACCCCTCTCGATCTCTATCTTCTCCAGCACCCGATTCAAAATCTTGAACCCTTTGTCAACCCATTTTGCCCGGATCGATTCTTCATTCGACTTCAGTCCAACTTCATTGAGAAATTCAGTCAAGCAGGCCAGTGACTTTGTAAACATGTCTGCTATCTGCTCATGTGTAGAAACATAGAGTGGAACTAGAAAACCTTTCTGATACTGTTCCCGGACAAAATGACAGTCAATGTCAAGGTGTTTTGTCCTTTCATGGGATATTGTGTTTTCAGTTATGTCAATCGCAGCCTAAGTGTCACACCACACAGGTATAGGAAGAGGCAACACGATCTGAAAATCTAAGAGAAGATAAGAAATCCATAACAACTCCTTGATGCTGAGACTTCTGTATTCTGCTTCAGCAGAAGAACAGGAGATGGTGGTCTGTTGTTTGGACTTCCAGGAGATCAATGCTGGTCCAAGAAACACGCAATAACCGGTGAGAGATCTTCTATGAATTGGATTTGTACCCCCAGTATGAATCTGCATAGGCCTCCAATTTAAAATCTGAATGAGATGGATAAAGAAGACCAGTACTTGTTGTCCCTTTCAGATATTTGAGAGTGTGAATCAATGCATTCCAATGGTCCACACAGGGTGCATGAACATATTTACAAAGCTGTTGAACAACAAAGGATATGTCAGGCCTAGTTAAATTCAGATAAAGAAGTTTTCCCACCAACTTTCTGTAAAGTGAAGCATCTGAAATAAGATCTCCACAATCTTCTCCAAATTGCAATCCCTTCTGTAGGGGTGTTGTAGTAGCTTTACATCCTGATAAACCCATATCTTGAATAATATCCGGAATATATTTTCTTTGACTAAGATACATACCTTCTGATGACCTAGCCAATTCTATTCCTAAAAAGTACTTTGCATATCCAAAATCTTTAATGGTAAAAGTCTTGTGCAAAAACTTCTTTACTACAATGATAGCATCTTCATCTGACCCTACTATTAGTATGTCATCCACATACACAATAAGAGCCATGAACTTAACTCCCTGACTAAGAGTAAATAAGCAAGGGTCATGTTTGGACTGGATAAAACCATAATGTTGAATCTGTGAAGTAAACTCTGCATTCCATTGTCTTGAAGCTTGTTTCAAGCCATAAAGAGATCTCTTGAGTTTACAAACCTGTTCTGGTTTGGCTAATGTATAACCCTCTGGTGGCAGCATGTAAACTTCTTCTTCCAAACTGCCATGTTGGAATGCATTGTTGATGTCCAGCTGATGCAAGGGCCATCCTTTTGCAACAGTTAGAGCAAGAAGCATTTTGACAGTTAGGGGTGTTAGTTAAACGGGTCCACCCGAAAAACCGACGGGTCGGCTTTACGGGTCTTCGGGTCGGTTTTCAGTTTTAACCGAATGAAAGTGACGATTTTCTGGGCAGTTTTGGGTTTGGGATTTTAGTTTTGAGACCCGCCCGAAACCCAAACTAATTTGGGATATATAATTTCTATACTTATTTTTAGGGAAGTATAAGAGCCATGAACTTAACTCCCTGACTAAGAGTAAATAAGCAAGGGTCATGTTTGGACTGGATAAAACCATAATGTTGAATCTGTGAAGTAAACTCTGCATTCCATTGTCTTGAAGCTTGTTTCAAGCCATAAAGAGATCTCTTGAGTTTACAAACCTGTCCTGGTTTGGCTAATGTATAACCCTCTGGTGGCAGCATGTAAACTTCTTCTTCCAAACTGCCATGTTGGAATGCATTGTTGATGTCCAGCTGATGCAAGGGCCATCCTTTTGCAGCAGTTAGAGCAAGAAGCATTTTGACAGTTAGGGGTGTTAGTTAAACGGGTCCACCCGAAAAACCGACGGGTCGGCTTTACGGGTCTTCGGGTCGGTTTTCAGTTTTAACCGAATGAAAGTGACGGTTTTCTGGGCAGTTTTGGGTTTGGGATTTTAGTTTTGAGACCCGCCCGAAACCCAAACTAATTTGGGATATATAATTTCTATACTTATTTTTAGGGAAGTATAAATTGATTTTACATTTTCTAACTAGGGTTTCACTTTTACTTTGACATCTCCACTGGCCGCTTCTTTTCTCTTCTCTCTCGAAGCCATGGCCGCCGCCCTTCACCCTTAACCTTGACCAGCAAAAATCATCCCCCACTCCAAAATCAATTTCAGATCTACCTCACAAGAATCACAACCCTTAACCTTGGCTGCATCTCTTTAATTTTTTTCGATTGGCAAGTTTAGAATAGTCATTTGTTGATTGTAGCTCCGGTCAGTCGGCTCCACTCCGATCATTCGCTTACGATTGTAGCTCTACTCCAGTCAATCAGCTCCGGCACGCGACGCCTCCCTCTCAAATCTCAAGGTTGGTTGGCATGCCATTCTTTCTTGTCTGAAACACTTTCTTCTTGACGGCTTTGGCCTTTGGGCCTTTGGCGAAAGAAAAATTCTATATTCTCTTGTTATTTCTTTACAAGAAAAATTATTGATTAGTTAATTAGATTACATGGATTATCACCTGAGATTTCTTGTAATAGGGTGCCTAGATTTCATACTGAGATCAAAATAATAATTGTTTCTTGTAACAGGCTGCCTAGAATTTTTTTTTTTTGGGACAGTTTTCCCACTGCTTCTCTTGTGTTAGTTGTTAGTTGTTACTGTAGGTTTAATATAATATTTTTTCTATATTCTTTGGTTTCAGATGTCTACTTTGCCGAGTACTGATGTGGTGATGATCAATTTGGAATTTGTCGATGATGCTGATGTGAAATTAGAAGATGTCAAGGTAGACGGTGATGGGCAGTCACCGAAGTCACCGAAGACACGAAAAGGTCGCCAAAGATCTAAGGTTTGGGCTCATTTCAAAAATTTCACAAATAAACAAGGTGAGAAGAAAAGTAGATGTCGATATTGTGGAAATGAGTACCATTCTGAAACAAAAAAAACATGGAACGAGTACCTTTAAGGCACATTTGACATCTTGTAAGAAAATGCCTTCTAATATGGATTCAAAGCAGACACAGTTAGTACTTGAGGGTGGGATTGATGGGGGTAATGTGCATGTTGGGGCTTGGAAGTATGATGATGATGAAGTTTATAGGGCACTTGCATATATGGTTATTGTAGATGAGCTGCCTTTTAAATTTGTAGAAAAAAAAGGATTTTTATACTTCATGCGAAAATGTCAGCCTTTGTTTGTTCGTAAAGGTAGGCTTACCATTGCTAATGAATGCTACAAGTTGTATTTGGATGAGAAGAGTAAGCTTAAGGCTGAAATTAGAGATAATATTGGTAGAGTTTGTTTAACAACCGACACATGGGCTTCTTTGCAAAAAGTGAACTATATGAATCTCACTGCTCATTATATTGACAATGATTGGAAATTGCGAAAGGGAATTCTGAATTTTTGTCCAATAACAAGTCATAAGGGAGATGATATTGGGAAGGCAATTAAAATGTGTTTGCTTGATTGGGAAATTGACAATGTTTTTACATGTTCGTTGCATTGCTCATGTCATGAATTTAATAGTTAAATCTGGTTTGGAACACATTAGTGTGTCAGTTGAAAGAATTAGGGCTGCTGTCAAGTACATTAGGCAATCTTCACAAAGAATTGAAAAGTTCAAAAAATTTGCTGAGATTGAAAAGTGTCAAAGCACTAAGAATCTGACCTTGGATGTGCCTACAAGGTGGAATTCCACCTATTTAATGTTGGAGACAGCTCAAACTTATGAAAGGGCTTTTAAGAGGTATGAATCAACAGAGCCACATTATAAAGAGACTCTTGCGAAGGTTGTTAGGCGCAATGAGGAAGGTGAAGAAGAAGAAACAGGGCCTGGGGTGCCTACTTCTATTGATTGGAATGAGGCCAAAATATTTGCAGGTATCCTTCAACCTTTTTATGAGTTTACTTTGAAAGTCTCTCAAACTAAATCTGTATCTTCAAAATTTTACTTTGAGGGTGTTACTTTCATTGAGGCTCTTTTAAGGAAACTTATCAATGAATATGAAGATTTTAGCATTTCTTTAATGGCAAAGATGATGAAGGATAAATTTGATAAATATTTTGGCAATTTTGAAACTTGCAACATGGCTTTGTTTGTGGCTTGTGTTCTAGATCCTAGGAACAAACTTGAGTATTTAGAAATTGTTTTGAATGATGTGTATGGGAAAATAGATGGCAAGTCAAGAAAAAACAAGATTGAAAGTGAACTACATGACATGTAGGCTAATTATGTGAAGTTACATAACCTGGAACGTAGTTCACATTCTCCCCCTCCAAAGTCATCTCAATCTTCTTTGGGAAAAAGGAATTTGCCCATTGATTTACAAGCTTCAAAGATGTTGACAGAAAAGTTCAGAATGCAATTGAAGAAGAAGAAAATTGAGGCTGGTGGTATGAATTTAAAGTCAGAGTTAGATAAATACTTGAAAGAAGATCTTGAAGAAGATGATGGAAAGTTTGAGATTTTGAATTGGTGGAAGGTTAATAGTCATAGATTTCCCATTCTATCTATGATGGCTCGTGATCTCTTAGCCATTCCTATATCAACAGTGGCTTCCGAATCTTGTTTTAGTATAAGCGGAAGAGTCTTAGAT